ATATATATATATATATATATGCAATGTGAAGTTATATATATTTTTTTAAAACATATATTTGTAATTTAAAAACTTATTACTATTATTATTATACTATATATTATTATTATACTATAATACTATTATTGCTGTTCAGATTGTCTATTTTAAATATATAGTTTTTTCTTTTAGTTTGTGCATCGACTTCTCACGAATTATACAGAGTCGATTGTCGATGCAATAATTGCTGATTCGTGAAAGCGGGCAACATTTGCTTGTCTTAAAGTGCCTTAAATCCAACAGATATCATCGTTATAATATTACTTTGTTTGTAAATTGTTTTAAAAAATAAATTTAAAAATAACTTTTAAATCAATTTTTTATTTTTCTTGTTTTTTAAACCAACAGGTTCTTTTAAAAACAATTTAATAATAGTACCTATGGATTTAGAAATATTTTCTAAAAAATAACGTCTTTTAAAAGTTTAAAAGACGTTTTTTTATTATTTAATTTAGGTTATTTAAGAACGTTTTTTACACGTTTCTTTTAGAACGTTTTTTAAACGAATTTTTTAGAACGTTTTTTAAACGCTTTTTTAAAAACGTTTTTTAGGTATTGCCATTCAGAACGTTTAAAAAACGTTTTTTTTCTTAGTTAAAAAAACGTTTTAAAAACGTTCATGTGCTTACTGGGTATGACCTCAAAATCCTATAATGTCTAATGTATAATAATAATAATAGTAACAATAAAAATAACTGCAACAATAATAATATTAATAACAATAAAATTAAAAATAATAATAACAACAATAGAAAATTCACAAATATCACATATAAGTATTAAACAATTTTAATAAGTAATAATAACGGAATAAAAATGTAAATAAAATGTAAGTAATATTAACATCACATATAATAATAATACTGATAACAATAGTAATAATAATCTATTATAAGCCTAACATTTTAATTAGAGTATTTTTCTATCGAAAAGTCAGAAAGATGGCTTTTAAATTGTGAAATAGAGTTGAGAGATTGAAAATGAAAACGTAAATTATTCACGATTTTACGCATTGGTTTGTAATTATCACCGTATTTTACCGAATAGCGATTTGGGATAGATAATTTAAAGTTATTCAAAGATGAAGGTAATAACGAGAACGTTTTTAGTGGTAAAAAAATTGGAGAATGAAGGAGGGAGGTTTACTTGTTTATAATTCAAGACAAATAGACAATTTAATAGATAAACAAGATCACAAAATTAATAGACTAATATATCACATAAATACGTAGAATGCAATATTACCGACATGTTGCTTAAATTAAAAATATATATTGGATTTATATTACAGCTTATATATTACCAAAAATGTGCAACAATATATGTCAAAATGCAAATATTGCCATAATGTTGTTTACAATATTTATCACCAATATTATACCATTATTGCTATAATGGTATAATATTGGTGATAACATCTTATAAATATTATATTTATAAAATGTTATATGTATTCAATTATTTAGTTCTCGATAAAACGTAATTTATATAAATTTACAACAGACTAAAATAGCTTTTCATATGTTCAAATAAGAATACTTTGAATCGACTTTATTTATAATTTGAGTAATATTATAGATAAAATTGATACTATATGATATGATAGGTAAAATTGATACTATATGATATTATAGATAAAATTGATACTATATGATATTATAGATAAAATTAATACTATATGATATTATAGATAAAATTGATACTATATTATATTATAGATAAAATTGATACTATATGATATTATAGATAAAATTGATACTATACTTCAACTTTTAAAGTTTATCTTAATGTTTTATTTTTTAATTTAATTTGTTTTTAGGTGGAAGTTGATATCAATAATTTAAGGCTAAAAATTTACAATAAAAAAATATCAAATTGAACTTGTAAATATAAATAATTAACAAAACTATCTAATAAACTCCTTTGTTAAGATATTTTAGTTTTTTATAATTTTCAGTTCTGAACATTTTACGTACTATTTATAAGAAGAACCGCAAAAGTTAAACTTATCTACAATATCGTGCAACAATAAAAAATTAATTATCTTTTACGAATATAACAAAATGTATAAGCTTTTTTTGGTTACTTGTTTTAATGTGTATTTTATTGCAATTTGGGGCGTATTTAAATCTAATTTAAATATTTTGCATTATTTTGAAATATTTTTTTTTATTTTTAAAATGATCCAAGGACGTCCAAGACCCATACTGAACATCTTTGTATGTTTGCGAGCTAAGAAATTACGTTTATAATATAAAGCTATGCCGATATATTATTTAAAATCAACTAAAAATGTCTCATAAAAGAACAAAAAATTAGCATTAATAACCATAGTAATGCGAGAAATTGCTGTACAATAAACAAGAACCTATCGTAAAAAACAAACATTCACAATAATCTTATTAAAAATTCATTAATCTTCAAAATTAATAGTAAACCAATCACCAACATAGTCCATAGAGAGCTAAGATTCTCCATATTCTGTTGACAAGGAATGAAACAAAAACTTTTCACGCATAGAAACTGAAACAAATTTATTTTACTAAGTTTTAGGCTTTTTAGAACAAGCTTTTCCTCGCGTCCACAATTCAAATCCCAGTCCTAAACAAACTAAGACGACCAAGAATCCTAGAATAAGTTGATATAGCGTGCTTTTCTGAAACATTTCGGTAATTGAATCAATGTACAAAGTCTCATTGTGACAATTCTTTTGAAACTGCTCGTAAGGACGAGTGTAAACCTCGTCCCTTTGATCAAACATGCAATTAAATACATCTTTTGCGGATTTTGATAGATTTGTGGGTATGAGACAGTTTATGTACAGTGTTGCAGGAATTACAGTAATAATGCGCAATGGAACATCCTGGTTATCATCAATTATCTCTTTTTGGAGCCATGCTGCAACATCAGCGTTGATAACAGCGGAAAACACTGTACCATTTCTAACCAAGTTTAAAGCTTCTTTGTAAGATTCAACAGGTACAACGTCTGCAGCATACATTTCTTTTACTGCTCTTAGTTCGTATGAGTCCTCTAGTACAGAAACTTTTTTCTCGCGAATATTTAAACCATCTAAACCATGAATAGTTTCACTAACGGTAGCCGTCATAAGTGCAGCAATGACTACTCCAATAAATAACCAGAAGCAAGCTATCATTCTACCAGCAATCGACCGAGGTACAATATCTCCGTATCCTACCGTAGTCATTGAAACAAAGCTCCACCAAAAACCAGTACCTGCGCCTTTAAAGAAAAATGGCGAGAACTCATTATTGTAAGTGCATTCGGCAAACCAAATTATCATGCCGAAGAGTAATGCTAACATAAAAGCCAGAGTAAGTATCTGACGGCAAGCATAAATTCCGCGGACCATTTTATTTGGCAACGAAATCATATAACGCGGAACAATAACAGCAAGACCTTCGGATTTAATAAATTCAAATAAGATTAAACCTTTATCTTTTACACTTTTATTTTGTTTTGTAGTGAAAGAATCATCTGGAAACCAAATAGTATTTTCTTTATTAAATTCTAGCAAGTCCTTTTCGCCATATTGCACGTTTGAACGCAGAAGATTTATATACATATTTCTTGACTGAAGTTGTTTATGAAAAGATATTAGAGTATAATTTTCAAGTTCATTTTTACAATAGTTCTCTCCCTCTTGAAATATCTTTGGTATTATACCATCAATATATCCGTCTGAATTTTTAAATATAAACGGTTTTTGTTCCCAATATATAGCTTTTAACAACGCCTCCTTTGACCAAATTAATTGTACCATTTTGAAAAGCACAAAGAATAATTTAAAGCAAAACATGATTTATAAAACTGCAAGAAAAGTCTAAAATTTAAATCAGAAATGAGATTTCTTTTAGGTACACTTTCATGTAGAGTTTTTTCCAATACGTTAAATTTAAAATGCCTTTGATCGACTTTTTTTGACCTTAATTTATTCTCTATAAAAAAGTAAAAACTCATTTTGTACGCTTCAATATTTTAACAAACAGTTGTTTTAATTTTGAAATTTCATTGTGAAACTCATATAACAGAATAACTAAGCAAATACCTTAGCATGAAGCATTTAGTCTTAAAAGGTTTTATTGGAAGTTTTTTGCTGATTTATATAACCGTATTATTATACTCAAAATTAACTGTTAATAAATTAACTATTAATAAAACAATTAACTATTAATAAAGAAATTAAAAAAAAAAATCATTTCTGGCTTTAAAAACAACTCATCTAAAATTTTTAGTTGTTTGATTATGTTTTTATTAGTTAAGGCCTTATATTCTATATTTTGTTGTGAAGTTATATATATATATATATATATATATATATATATATATATATATATATATATATATATATATATATATATATATATATATATATATATATATATATATATATATATATATGTATATATATATATATATATATATATATATATATATATATATATATATATATATATATATATATATATATATATATATATATATATTAGGTGAATTTTTTTTTCAAGTGACGGCCCTATAACTATCGGTGGATTAATTATATAAAACTCATAAAAATATACAAACCATATAAACTAAAAAAACCCTCTGCGCAAATCCATTTTAGAGTATCTTCAAAAGTTTGAAAATTTGAAAATATAAAAAAAAAAAAGTTTGAAAATTTTATTTGAAAATAGCTCATATTGTTTATTAAACAATATTTAATAGTTAAACAATGTTTAACTATTATATCTTGTATATATTTAAATATAATCTGTATTTTAGATATCTAAGATATCATAAAATAAATTAATTTGACAAATTGATCGCCCTTTCAATATTAAAAAAACCGAGAAATCGTATATATGGAAATTTGATTGAGTCACTTATGGGTTTTTCAAAATTTTGTTAGACAAGGCAGATATCAGGAAGATATCATTTCTTTTTAGAATTGGGTAAAATTCCAAGATCAAGTGATTTTGGAATTTTACTCAATTGAAGTTTGTCAATTATGGTTAAAATGATAATACCATATTTTACGGAAAAATCTGTGCAAAGAAAAGTAAAGTCTGCTAATCAAAATTTAGAATCAAATCTTCATTAATTTTTATAATCAGATAATCAATAACAATTTCTGGTAATAAAAAAAATCTTCAGAATAAACTTAGACATCTGGGATTCACATGGGATAGTAAACATTCAGTTTTTGCTTCACTCGGTTATTAAAATGTTGATGAAAAAATATCAAACTTTAGAGCTGTTGTTCAAACTCTTATTCAATCTGGAATCCGGTTTGCCCACCCCAGTTCTATTTCCTATATATATAAATCATTGGCAGTCCCCACCTTAACTTATGGTATGGAGCTATGTGAAAATAATCCTGGTCTGATGAAAAAGCTAGATATAATTGGAAGGAGTGCGCTAAAATCGTTTTTAAATGTTTCGAAACATAGTAAAAACTATATGAGTTCGTTATTTAAAATCCAGGAAATTTCAAAAAGTGTTCAACAAAATAAGTTAAACTTGTTCCTTCGACTTCTTAATAACAAAACAACTGCAGACATTATCTTTTCACAACTGCAACATCCGTTATTTCAACATTCGTTTGTTAGTGATATTCAGGAACTATGCCGTCTTCAGATATTAAATTTTTAAAACCTAATTCAAAATAAAAAGAAGGTAAAAATACCACTTTCTAAAGGTAAAATTCCTTCCGAAGTTGAACGAAACTTGAAGTATGCAATAGAGGGCTGGAATACAAAAGAGCAAAGAGGAGTTTTCAAGCAAATTCTGGAAGAAAACGTTTTTAAGCAAAGTCATCCGAAATAACTTTCTTATTTTTTTCTTTTTACCTTGTAAATTGGGTGTTAAATAAATAAAATAATAATAATAATAAAGTACAAATAAAAAGACAATTATTATAAATAGCCGGGATATATTATTTGACTTATTGCCTGAAAATGCTAAATTTAAAAATCACGAAGACAAATTCTTTTATGAACTTCAGAAATCTTCAGATGGGTACAAAGGTCAGTGCAGTATTGTGACATTGCCTATTACAACACATCCGCGATACCTGCCACCTAAAAGAAAAAAACTTGAAACAAATTATAATCAATCATTTGATGATACAGAGAATTCTAATAGAGAAAGTTTATAAGTTAATAGTACAATTGATGATTACACAATCTCATTGAAACGTGCAAAGATCACCGATTAAATGGTAGCTAAGATATCTGAAAATGAAGGGTATCCAGTAAGTTGTACGGCAAAGATTGCAGAAGCTGTACTCAATGCTGTACTCATTGGTGAGACATCAATTTGCAGAACGGCAGTCCAAAAAACATCTACAACACTCGTGCATGAATTAAGCTTGATTTGGTCTTATATAGACTCTTCTGAAGAAATGTGGTGCTTACATTTTGATGGTAAGAGCATAGACAAACAACATTATTATAACAATATATAGAACTTGCATTTCAAGCAAGTCTAAATCTTTGGTAATATCTTTGAAATAATTAGAGAAAGGCAACTCTGTTTCTATTTATAACATGTTACACAATATTATTTTGGAATTTAATTTATTAAATAAAATTTCCCCTTATAATATTTGACACGACTGCAGTAAACACAAGTTCTAAAAATAGAGTAATTAAACGTTTGAGAAAAATTGTTCCAGGTTTAGTGTACCGCCCTTATCAACTTCATGTTCTTAACCTGATTCTTAACCATTTTAACTCAAAGTTTGATTCCTTATCAACATTGCCTAATATTAATTACTGGTTCATTAATGAGTTGATAAGTAACTACCATGTTTTAATTGAAAAATACAAGCCTATAGGGCCAGTTAATAAAAGTAAAAAATATGGCAGGCTATACGGAGCTGGATTTGTTATGTAAAGGATGAAGTTTTTTCGAGACACAATGATTTTAACCGCGATTCATTTTTCTAAATCAGGGCTTATTTCAAATGCATAATGGAACTCAAGAGCTATCTATTGCTTGAAATAAATGCTTTTGACTCAGACAAAAAAAGAATTAGTAATAAAGGCATGCAATTTTATCGTAGATCACTGGGCTAAGCCATGGCTCTCTTGCAGAAATGTAAACGATATAACGAAATTAATATTGGCTTTAAAAGGTAATTGCCTGAAGTGTTTGGAAAAACACTGTAATATTTGGAAATATTGTCCGTTAGATATTGATTACACAAATGAAGTGTGGGAAAGGTCTCTTGCGAAAGTCAAATTACTTCTTCAAAGAAACGTCATCAACTTAAAGGCCAAATTTCTAAGACACTGTAATAAACTTTAATCTGCCTATGCGTGTTATTGTAATAAAATAATATATTTTTTGAACTATACTTACTACCATGACGCAATTTTCAAAGACTTATAACTAAAAATTTAGAACTCAACAAACATATCTAAGGTAAATCTTTACCCCAAGTTACCTAAATTTTTATCCGTAATTTGTAAGCATGGAGCTAGCCACGGTTAGCACCCGCGTTATTCAAATTTAGGGGTCCTTTTCCAAATATAAGGATTTTTTTTAGTAATACACTTAGTGATGGAAGATTTTTAAGATTTTAACGCCCTAATGACAAGTTGGAGGGAGGAGGCTCTGACCCTCTAGCCACAGCACTGTTTGTAAGGTATTTTCATCTCTATGTAAATTTGTTACTTTGTTTTTTTTAATTAATATTTTAGTTTATAAAAGTCATTACTTTTAAAAACAAGACTTTTCGATCTGTCGCAACTTGATTTAATAACTTTTTTTTCACAAATTACGTCATTTCAAAAAAATGAGTTTGCGCAGAAGGTTTTTGAATCTGTTATGGTTAAAATCATTTTTAAAATACTTTTTACATCATTTCTCCACCGGTAGTAACAGGGCAAATTGATTTTAAGAAAAAAGTGTAAAAATTTTCTCCCCCTAAAAAAATATAATGTACTTCTTCGTTGCCAACATAATTTTCTTAACATTAATTAAAATATTAAATCATAGGATTTAATATCTATTGGTTATGGTTAAATTAACATGTTTTGATTCCAGAAATGTAAATATATATATATATATATATATATATATATATATATATATATATATATATATATATATATATATATATATATATATATATGTATATATATATATATATATATATATATATATATATATATATATATATAAATTTTACAAATATATTTTATAAATATATATAAATAATTTAAATATATTATAAATATTATATTATACCTGTTTAGAATTCCGGAATCAACCCTGTAAAATTAAACAGGTATAATATTAAATCTACAACAAATTTTATACTAAATTTAAATTCATTTAAAAGCTTTTAATTTTATATAGTCATCTTTTAATTTTTGAAAGTTTTTTCCCTCGCAAATAAGGGGCTTATACTTTTTTACAAGCCTCTCTTTTACAAGCGTTATTCTCAAAAATACATTTCTAAAATCTACTTTAAAAAAAGAAATATTTTTTTCCATTTAAGGTATAACTTTCTAACATAAAGTATAAAAATTATAGCTGATTAATTTATTTTCGAGAGTTTCGTCATTTTTCATTAGCGAGGGAAGGTATGAAGAGCAACTTGTTTTTAAATGAATAACTCATGTTCTGATTAAATAAATAGATATAAAATATTTTCCATAGATATATTACATAAGTTGTTCTCTTTTTAGTAATAAAAAAGTTTTTTTTTGATTTAAATAAACTTTACAGATATTTGTTTAATATACTCTTATCCAACGGCTTATTATTATTATTATTATTATTATTATTATTATTATTATTATTATTATTATTATTCTTTGACAAATTTTATTAAAATAAATCTTTTAAATTTTCATCTCCAATCATTATATATTTAGGTTGTGCAACTTAAAAAACTTATGATGTTTAAATACTACTTTACTTTCAAGGAAAATAAAAATATACAAACTTGAATTGATCTTTTAATTCAAAAAAAAGGAGACCTGGCTTTGACTAAGTTTTTCATAGACTTTAGACGATACTAAAAACTGCCGTCTCAAACACTTAAATTATAAAATGAAATAAATAATTCGTTAAAAGTTAGTTGTAAACCCATGAAATGTTTTACAAGATTAGTCCATAGGCATGTCATATTTGTTGAAATCAACGGGGAATTCATCACTTAGTTTTGACGCTGTGAGGTTGCCGAATAAAAAACGCTTAATCAGACATTTCTTGTTCCATTTTTACAAATGGAATTTTATATAGTGCCAGTATCAATTTATTCAAGACTTTTGCTAGATATTAACAGTCGTCATAGTAACAAACTATAGTTACAAACTCATCTTAGGAAGCTTATGTCTTATAAGAGGCTATAGCCTCTTATAAGACAAAAGTCTCTTGATGATTCTTCTTCAAAAAAAGTCTCTTGATGATTCTTCTTCAAACAACAACTTCAAAAGATGATTCTTCTTCAAAAAAATTTTGTTCTTGCATAGAAATGTTATAACTTCCTTCTCTAGATGATTCGCACTTTCTGAACTAGAAGCGTCTATAGTCTTCGCGTTTGAGAATTAAGACTCCAAGTTTCAAAGTTTTTTCTGGCTAAAAATATTTTCGTTAAATGCTTGTTTGTGCAGTGGTCTGTAACAAAATTTTTAAATTCTTTTAAAATGTCTTAACTGACCTCCTCTCCAAAAACATATTCTTGGAGGGTTTGTTGGCTCCATTATTTTAAGTGATAAATAATTCAAATAATTAAGTACATGGATTCGAGATAAATAAAGTCATTAAAAAAATGGTAATATATATTATGCAATAATAAATTGTAGTTATAACAACGATAAATTTCAAATAACAAGTAAAGTTGTTAAAAATATTAGCTTTATTACAAATGCTAATGTTAAAGTTGATCAAAGTCATGCGCCTTTTTTTCATTACAATTTTTTTTTCGAGTATAAAATTCAAACCCTAATCCTAAACATATAAACGTAACCAAAAATCCTAAAATAAGCTGATATAACGTGCTCTTTTGAAACATTTCGATTATTGAGTCAACGTACAAAATTTCTGTATTGCAAATTCTTTGAAAAGATTTGGCAGATCGTGTGTAAACTTCGTCTTTTTGTACATTCATGCAGTTAAATACGTCCCGAGCGGATTTTGATAAATTCCTCGAGATAAGACAGTTAATGTACAAATGTGCTTTAACTACGTTAACAATACGCAATGGAAATTTATGATTATCGTCAATTATTTCATTTTGTTTCCATGCGGCAACGTCAACGTTCATAAGGGCTGCGAAGACCTTTTCTTCTCTCACTAACTTTATAGCTTCTTCGTATGTTTTTACTGGAACTACATCTGCATCGTACATTTCTTTAGCAGCTTTCAGTTCATATGAATTATCCAGAACCGAAACTTTTTGTTCGTAAATATCTAAACCCTCTAAACCTGTAACAACTTCGGTAACCGTTGCAGTAACGAGGCAAGATATAACTACTCCAATAAATAACCAAACGCATGCTATTACTTTTCCAGGAATGGAACGTGGAACAACGTCCCCATATCCAACCGTAGTCATTGAGACTACGCTCCACCAAAGTCCTGTAGCTGCTCCATTCACAAAAAACAATGAAAACTCGTTATTATAAGTACATTCAATAAACCAGATGAGCATTCCAAATAATAACACCATCATCACGGTCAATGCAATTATCTGCCGACAAGAATAAATACCACGTAGCACTTTCGAAGGTAGAGATATTTTATCACGAAGCATAATAACAGCAAGACCATCAGATTTCATTATTTGAAATGATACTAAGTTTTTGCTTTTTTTATGTTCTTTGTTTGTTACGTTGTACAAATCATCTGGAAACCAAATCTGTGTTTCATCTGTACCATTTAACAAATTATTTTTGTCTCTATAACTTTCAGAGTGCAAAAGATTTTGAAACTCTTCTCTCGAGGAAAGAAGTGTTTTAAAAGAAATAAACTTTTTATTAGATTCATTAAAACAATAATATTCTCCTTCGTTAAACATCTTTGGAATTATACCATCTATGCTTCCATTAGATGTTTTGAAAATGAAAGGTATTTGTTCATAAAATACAGCTTCTAGCAGTGCATCTTCCAAACGACATTCATATACCAATTTTAATAACAACAATATTATTTTTAATGAAATCATAACTTTTAGTTATCAAAAAAAAAAACTACCAGTATCGGTTATCTGAAAATTAGTCGAAATGAAATAATAAAATATTGTGTACTTTTATTTAATAAAGTTGTTAAGAAGAATTTTTGTGTTCAATTTTAATTTCTTAAAAATGTGATTATTAAATTTATTATTACTTTTTTAAAATATAATTTATAATAATAGTTATTATTATATTAAATAATTTATCTTTTTTTACTATTGAATCAAAGCTTACAACATATTTTCTTTTTTTTGAAGTAGAAAGACTCACAAAAGTTTTGATTTATTTTATTTTGATTAAGGTTTAATTAAACCTATTGTTATGTCATCATATTAGGTTAATTGATTGCTGTTGAGTTTAAGTTTCAAATTGATTATCTAAATTCTCTACTGAGATATTTTTTTCATTTCTAATTTAAGCTAAAACCTACGGCTTTTTTAAGGTATAAATCATCTATTTTAAAATCAAAAAAAAAAACATCGTTACAAACAATTTTGTATTAAAGTCCTAATTTTAGACTTTTGTCTCCATGTTAGATATTGTTTAACAGGTTTGGATTCAAAGGAATTTTTGATACATCTAGTGAATGGTATTGATTTTTGACACATCTAGTGAATTAATTCACTAGATGTGTCAAACATACAATTGTATGTTTAGATGAAAAGTTCCATGAGGTAAACGTTCTTCCCCACTATATTTCTAAAAAATATTTTTATGAGACATGTTGTAATACTACTAAAGGTAAAACGATTATAATAAACAATATTAATAACATATAAAATGTATTATATAAAATTACCACATAAATTTGCTTAAATGCAATTTGTGCTACCTTCTTAAAATCTTATACAACGGCTTAAACATCAGGAGTCTACTATTTCATTCGTTCAACGTTGACGGGCAAAAAAATTAATTTAGAAACCTTTTAAAACTTTAAAATTGATAATGGGGTTAAAAAACTGTTTTCTCTATATAAACATTTTAATTCTTATTTTAACGAAAAAATAAACAATTATAAAAACGATCAGCAAAGTTAATTATACGAAATGCTCGTTTCTGACGCGAATAAAGGCGTTGTAATTTACTTTTTTCAGTTGCAAAGTTCAGGGCCGCTAAGAGCTGTCACGCCGCCTGGGACAGCAATCCTGATTGCTGCCCTTTTTTAATAAACTTTTCCTATATTATATATGAAAGATCCATTTTGTATTTTTAGGTTTGACGATTAAAAAGGGAATGTGCTATTAAGTTTTTGTAAATGTCTGAAATCTCATCTAGTAACGTCAAATTGGCTATTCGATTTCCTGTAATCTTTTTTCTACAACAGTCATAAAATACTTCGACCTTTAAAACATATAAATTTTTATTAGAAACTGTTGTTGCGCTTTATTTGTTATTTTTAATTTAAAAAAGTAATTAAAAACCAAAACTTTACTGTCCCGAGCGCACTCAGTTACTCATAAAGCTAAATAAAAGCAGAAATTTAGAAAATTTTTGAACTTCATTAGAATGTGTTGTTGGTTTAAGTTGTTTGAAAATTTAAATACTTAAATATTTTCAATTAATTTGATCTTCAAAAAAAAAAAAAAAAAAAAGATAAAAACGAAAAGTACTGTCGTCAATAGTTGAATGTTTAAGAGCATACATAGAAAAGGAATTCATTTTCATTCTATTAAATTGTTTCATTAGAAACAGTTAAATAGATTGAAACATCATTTTAAAAAATGTTACAGAAATTTCAATTTCAATTTCACTTTAAATTATCAAAAAAAGTTGCCGAAGATGGAGTGCTTGATGCTGTTAAAGAAATAAGATCGTTTAAAAAAATTATAAACCAGGACTAATTATAATTAAAGCAAGATTAATCATAATTAAAACAGGATTAATCATGAAACCACAACCATGATTAATCACGATTGTTACAAACTTTGTTAATCTTTGTTGATTTGCGAGATAAAAAGTTACGCAGCAAATCCCTCCGTGACAAAATTCAAAAAAAAAGAAATGAGTCTTTCAATACATTAAATTGAAACAGAGTTTCAATAAATACATTTGTAAAATTAGTGAAATTGGAAAATGCTGCTTATGATAAAATTGCCCATTTTAATAAAGAAAATTTAGCCGCATTAAAATCTTACGATAAATGGAAATGATGCAAATGGAAAATAACTTCACTGAGCTTGGTTGCAAAAACTAGCAATCAATAACTTGTTTGCTACACTGAGCTTAGTTACTGTCGTGAATTTAATATTATGTTTGTTGCGTTCAACTGACTAAGGTACATCACTTTTTACGCTTCATGTATTTCAATATAAAACAACGATATTTATACAAAACTGGCAATTATTCGTAAGTAAAATACGTAAATTAAGTATTCACTAGATACCAAGATAATTGCCGTTGGAAAAACCCATTCAAAATACCGTAAAAAAACGTCATTCTTAACTAAATACTAAAACGTTTATGATACACTCCCCAATTTATAGATAAAATATCTAAAAATTATCATCAAAATGCTCATCCAGAGCTGTAATTTCTTTAGCTTTTGTTTTTTGCGATGGTCTTTGCTTTGTAGTTTGCACTTGCTCGTTTGGCGTGGTACGGTTTGTTTTTGAGTCGTTTATGTTTTCTTTATTCCCCTTTGGATCTTGGCAGCTAATTTTCAAAGGATAGAGCATCTGGATTGGTCTTTCCGCAATTTGGTTATTTCTTGTTTTTAATTTAGCACCACGAATTATATTGTCTTCTCCTTGTATAACTTTAGTAACTATACCAATTTTTTTGCTCGCCTTGATTCTTTTCTTCCCCTTTAAGTAAAAAAATCTCTCCTACTCCTATGTTTTTTGACTAAACTCTTTGTATCGATGATTTTATCGCAACGATCTTAAGTACTCGCTCGTCCATCTTTTCCACGCCGAGTTTTTGCATTTCGTGATGTACTTCACTGCACGTGTTGTTGTATTGTTGTTAAACTCTCAATTGTCGTCATCTTCTGTATTTTCGAAAGGGATGGTAATACCTTTTCCATGTAAAATCATGTTTGGTGTTAACACTCGAAGTTGAATATCGTTTTCAATGTATCCTAATGGTCTGTTATTCAACGTATTTTCAATATTAATTAAAACCTCTTTTAGACATTCAAAAGATAGGCGAAGTCTTCCAGTTGCTTTGTGTAACTATCATTTCACCAAACCCACTATTCTTTCAAAGAAGCCTCCCAACCCTGGACTTCTTGCTAAGTTGAACTGCTATTTTATGTTCATTTCACCTAGGTATTCATTTATCTGCGAATCCTTTTTTAACCGACGGATCCACCTCGCAGTGCTGATAGATGTTTTAGCGTTGTCACTTATTATAAGTGCATGTTTCCCTACAATATAAGATTTTCTGTAAAACTCTTTGCTGACTTTATATTCGATTGGAGCAGCAAAGTCCAAACCAGCAGTTTTAAAGGGATAACTACTTTTATTTCGATACCTTGGCAAATCCGCTGATGATGGAGCTAGCAGGGGTTTGCACCTGAATCTTTTACACCAATTGCAATTGTATATTATTGTTTTGACTTGGCTACGTAGGTATCTGTCCAATAGTGTTAGTAGGGTATCTGTCCAATAGTCCAAGCACGTACGAGAGTTAAGAGTATCAAGAAGTCTTTTATCTTAAAATTTGATAGAAAATTAAAAATTAAAATTACTATTAGATTTAAATTTGTGGTTTTCATCACGAACGGACGTGTTTTTGCTACGAGAAATTTAACAAAGGAGAAGTATACATAAATATATTAACAAAAAAAAAAATTACTATTATAATAAAATTAATACTTTAAACAAATATTTAAATTATGGCAGTAACACTTGTAGAAATTAAAAAAATGATAAAAGATTTGTTTTCAAAGTACAAAGTAGAAACGGAAGCTGCGCTAAAGCAACAAGAAAACAATTTTATAAATATAGTTAGTGCAAACACCAAAATATTAAACGAGAGATTGGACAAAGTAGAAAAAAGTATTTTGGAAAATGCTAAAAAAATATCCACACTTGCAACAGAAGTTGAAGAAATAAAAGTAAGTTTAAATTTTCATGAGGAACTCATTGAAAACAAAATTAAAACCGCGTTAGATATTTTCATGAAAAGTAAATGTACTCCTAACGAAATTCAAAACAACAACACTGAGCTCAAAAAGATAAATAGTAAGCTAAGAGAAATAGAAGATAGATCAAGAAGGAATAATTTAAGAGTTGACGGAGTTAAAGAAGATGATAATGAAAGCTGGTTGGAAAGCGAGTTAAAAGTAAAAACAATATTTGACAAATACTTGGGTATAAAAAATGTAAAAATTGAAAGAGCGCATAGAGCTGGTAAGGTAGGTATAAAAGAGCACAGAACAATTGTTCTGAAATTATTGGACTTTAAATATAAGGAGACAATTCTAAAAAACTCTTCAAAGTTAAAAGGAAAGAACATTTTTATAAACGAAGATTTTTGCACGGAGACGAATCGAATTAGAGAGGATTTACGAGAGAAAATGAAAATTGAAAGACAATCGGGAAAATTTGCGTATATTTCCTACGACATGCTTATTGTACGCGAGTGGAATGCAAAAAAAAAGTAATTTTATCTTCTTTTTTTTTAACCTTTTTTATTTACGTTATATTTTAAAATTTTAAATGTTTTATTGAATATATATATATATATATATATATATATATATATATATATATATATATATATATATATATATATATATATATATATATATATATATATATAACGGAGAAGCTTTAAAATGAATCCAAAAACGGATAAATACAAAAATCTTTTCGAAAACATTTCAGATAAGGTATTTAAAATAAATGATCAAAACACTTTTAATAAACATGACCCAGACAACAGCTTTATTGATAACTTTTCATTAATGAATATGGAAACACCTTATATGTTTCCGCATGAAATAAAAAAATATTTAAAAGAAGTTGAGCCTTATGAGGGTCTGTCTCTTATTCATCTTAATATAAGAAGTGCTAAAGCAAATTTTGAAAACTTTAAAATATTCTTAGAAGGAAGCAATTTCATTTTTAATATTATTTGTTTAAGCGAAACATGGTTAACTGATGACGAATTTAACGAAAGCGTGCGTTTTCAATTAAATAATTATGAAGGAGTGCATTTGCAAAAAAAAACAAAAAATAGAGGCGGGGGTGTTGTAATTTACATTAAAAATAGTTTGCGGTATAAGTTACGAAACGATCTATGCATATCTGATTACGACAGGGAATTTGTTTCTATTGAAATCATTAATAATGGCTTTAAAAATACCATAATATCATGCTGTTATAAACCGCCACAGTCTTCAACAGAAGTATTTTTAAACCATCTTCAAAATATTATTTTGAAAAGCTTCCAAGAAAAAAAAAGTTTATTTGTAGTAGGAGATTTTAATCTTAACGCTCTAAACTATGACAAAAATAAAGAAACACAAAACTTTTACAATGATATTTTCCGATTTGGTGTAATTCCTCTTATAAATAGGCCAACTCGAATTACAAGAAATTCATCAACATTAATCGATAATATACTAACAAATTCTTTATTTGAAATCTCGCTAAAAAAAGGAATAATTAAAACACCAATATCGGATCATTTTCCGATATTTATTTCAATAAAGACCTCAAACAAAATAATTCTTCTAATGACACCAATTTAATGTATAACAAGTTTATCAATATTTTTTTATTTTTTTATGAAAAACATTTTCCCAAAGTAACAAAAACAATTAAACTTAAAGACATAAATTCACCTTGGTTAAGTAAAGGTCTTAAAAAGTCATCTAAAAGGAAACAAAATTATATATAAAATACCTTAGAAAAAAAAGTGATAAAACAAAAACAGAATACAAGAATTATGCAAATTTATTTGAGAAACTTAAAAAAACCGCTAAAGCTACTTATTATAACAAACTTCTTAAAAAGTGTCAAACAGATTCCAGAAAAACATGCCAATTATTAAATGAAATAATTAGAAAACCAAAAACTAGCAAACCATGTCTTCCTAAGACAACAAAAATCAATCACAAATCAATTGATAATGTAAACGACATTGCAAATGAGTTTAACAACTTCTTTGTTAATATAGGATCTAAACTTGCATCTAAAATTCCTCGAGTAAATAAATCTTTTGATAAATATTTAATTCGTAATAGAAATAAACTAAATAACGAAAAACTAACAATGTTAGAAATTGAAGAGGCTTTTAAAAGCCTTAAAAGAAACAAGGCTACTGGAATTGACGATGTCAATAGCAACATAGTAATTAACTGTTACAAAGAACTTAAAAATTCCTTATTCAAAATTTTTAAACACTCTTTAAAGAAAGGTATATTTCCTGAAAAACTAAAAACTGCTAAAGTAAAACCTATATTTAAATCAGGAGATGCAAGTGAAATAGGTAATTTTAGACCAATATCAAACCTTTCAACATTCTCTAAGATACTTGAGAGAATTATGCACAATAGGTTATATACTTTTTTTAAAGAAAACAATCTTATTTATTCCAAGCAGTTCGGCTTTCAAAAAAATACATCAACTGAACACGCAATCCTTCACTTGGTTGAAGAAATAAAAAACTCCTTTACAAACGGAAAAGTTACTTTGGGGTTTTTTGTAGATCTCTCGATGGCTTTTGATACAGTCGACCACAAAATATTATTATCAAAGCTTAATATGTACGGTATAAGAGGTAGATCCAACAAGTGGATAGAACGCTATTTAGATAAACGTGTGCAATATGTATATTACGGAGACAATAAACTCTCTAATCCGCCTATAATAGAGTGTGGTATACCTCAAGGTTCAATACTTGGGCCCTTGCTTTTCTTAATCTATGTAAACAATCTCTGTATGGCTTCAAAAAGAATTTCAACTATAATGTTTGCTGACGATAGCAACTTTCTTATCTCTGGAAAATATAATAGCGAGCTGTGCGTAGAAATGAACAATGAATTAGAAAAGATTTCAGAGTGGTTTAGGGCAAACAAACTCTCTATTAACTCAAGTAAGACAAAGTTTTCTTTATTTCATCCTTCTTTTAAAAAAAAAGAAGTTCAATCTTTTTTTCCGAAATTCTTCATTGAAAATAGAGAAATAGGTAGGGATACTGTCACGAAATTTTTGGGTGTTTTTATTGACGAAAATCTAAATTGGAATAAACATATCGCTTATATAGGTAGTAAAATATCCAAAAGCATAGGAATAATATACCAGCCACGTTATTTATTAAAAAAACCACTACTCAAACAAATCTACTATAGTTTTGTTCAAAGTTACCTAAACTACGGAAATATAGCTTGGGGTAGTACCTAAAAAACGAAACTAGAACCACTTTATCGTAAACAGAAGCATGCTATACGTGTGATTAATTTTAAAAATAAAACAGAACACTCAAAACCTCTTTTTGAACAAATGTCTTTATTAATATTGTTTGAACTAAATGTATATAATGTTCTAAGTCTTATGTATAATAACAATATGCAAAAAAGTCCTTCAATTTTCTATAGTCTTTATAAACAAAAACCAGAGTACAAATATTTATTGCGTACAAATAGTACCCTGTTAGAGCGTTCATGCAAAAATAAGCTTGAACAATTCAAAACGACTTATCGTGCACCTCATATCTGGAATAAGTTTTTACTAATTAGTGTAACGAGGGGCAAAATGAGACACTTAAGCGCTAATACATCTAATACGGCCCGTCTAACAACTTTTGAAAAAATAATTGATATTTTTCAATTCTTCTACGATCCTACTTGAAGCCTAAAAAGTATGAGTTGTAAAACTGCAGTAGTTTGGTCACCAGAGATCATTTATTGACAGCACCTATCCCGTCTCATTTTGCCCCGCATACCGGGGCAAAATGAGACAGATTTTTTTTTTAGTAATTTAAATAAATAAAGTTTAAAAAAAAAAGATCTTTAAGAGGATTAGCAAGAAATACATTTTATAATATATTACAGCTATAATCAAACTGTCACTAGTTACATAAATCACATATTGCTTGACCAGTATTTTGAAACGAACAACAGTCTGAATGAGCCCAGGTTGTGCATTATGAAAATTGACTCCACTTATATATATATATATATATATATATATATATATATATATATATATATATATATATATATATATATATATATATATATATATATATATATATATATATATATCCACTACAAGAACTAATAAAACCATACATGCATATATTAAACTTTTGTATTTAAAGCACGCATAACATTCATTGTATTTTGTTTATACGTACTGCAATAACCTATATGTTATAATCTACTCACTATATATTTTATATACTACTTACTTTATTACATTACAATACAATAAGATTATAAAATACAAACATAGTAATTATAAACATCAGGCAATTATTTGCTTCAATTTGATTAAATATTTATTATATTTAAATATATGTTAACAAAATATAAAACGTAATTCTATATTGGATAACAACTAAACATTTCAATTAACAAAATAAAAAGTAAGTAAATACAGTATAATAAATTTAAATCTACAGCATGTAAACATTAATATTTGCTTTGGTTGTTGTTTTAATGTAAAAAATTAAATAAACATAATATTAGATATCGGCAAAAAAAAATACAAACAGAATGTCTCGTTTTGCCCCGCATCATGTTGGCATCGAATAGCCTAATTTCCAGACTATTTTATTGAAATAAAATACCGAAGAATGGAAATGAAAGAAAAAGGCCTAAAGATTCTAATTAAAAAAAAAATTTAAATATAAAAAGCTTTTCCACTCAGTGAGATCAAAAAAGGCTAGGAAAAAATATAATAACAACTCTTAAAAATTCGTAATTTTTGCGAAGCCGAGGGATGAAATGATTCCCCTTTTACTCAACTTTTTTATTTCAAAGTGACTAAATATATTTTTCATGACACAAAATAGTTTTTTAACACAACTACACTTTTAAAAATCTTGCAAATAATAATTTGTAGGGCTAGCATTATGTTAAACGCGAACTGTCTCGTATTGCCCCGCTGTCTCATTTTGGCCCGCGTTACCCTAATTTAAATAATAATATTTATTTAAAAAACTTAAATTGCTTTAAAAAAACTATTAAAAAGAGTATTTTAAAGTATAAAAATTTAAGTAGTGATTTTTTTTAAATTTATTTATAAATATTTTCTTTTTTATTTAATATAAATATATTTTCAACATTGCGATTTTACAAAACGATTTTTGTAAAAATATATTTGTATACTTGTTATCTGACATTTTAATACCATTATAATTTAATAATTTTATGTAAAAATTTTATGAATATGTTTTTATATTTACGGCAATGTAAAGCGGTTCTTGATGATAAGACCATTTGGTCTTCTGCAAGTTTTCCGCGTTCTTTTTTCAGTGTTAGAGTGAATTTATTATTTTTGTAAAACCACTTTGTAATATTTTATTTTTATTTATATATTCACTGTTAACGAATCTTTATTATGTGGTTACGAATTTGTAATATTAAGGAACAAAAAATAAACTTAAAATAAATAAAATAAAATAAAAAAAACAGTGTTCACGAAACTTTTA